TCAGCTTTGTTCTAAAAACCTAATTCCATAAAGTCTCTTCTAAAGACTTGGTTAATAATCTTTCTGCTCTGGAAGCTAAGCAAATGAATTCATTCAAGGAAATGATGAGGATGATGATCTTGAGGATGATGATTTTAATGATGATCATGATGAGTAATCTCTAAAGAGGTTTATCTTCTCCTTTTCTATTATTATTATGGATTTAATTTGTTGGAATTGTAGAGGTGCCTGTGCTAGGAATTTTCCTTCACATATCAAAGATATGACTAAAAATTTTAATACTCAAGTTCTACTTCTTGAAACTAGAGCTAGTGGTTCTAGAGCGGATAGTATTATCAAGAAATTAGGTTTTTCTGACTGGATTCGTGTTGAAGCTATTGGTTATGCTGGTAGTATTTGGTTACTTTGGAATAATGATTTTGTTAACACTGATTATATTTACTTTAATGTGAAACTGTTGCATTATAGGGTTAATATCTTAGCTAAAAATTGCTCTTATTTGCTATCTTGTGTCTATAGTAATCCTAATCCTCTCCAACATGATCTACTTTGGGATTCTATCAATTCTCTTACTCATACTATCACTAATCATTGGCTCATTATTAGTGATTTCAATTCCTACCTTTCATGTGATGACAAGAGTGGTGAATTGGAGATCCATGAAACATTTTAGACAATGCATAAATTCTTCCAACTTTCTTGACCTCAACTTCTGTGGCGATAGATTTACTTGGGAAAAAGTTAATGTGAAGGAACGGATTGACTGGCTGTTTGCAATACAGACTGGAGACTTAAATTTCATCAAGCTACTTCCTTTCATCTTCTTAGATATGGTTCTAATCATTTCCTAATTAGAATTCAATTATTCAAAAAGTCTCCTCAAAAAAACCAGTCTGTACCTTTTCGGTGTCATAATGTTTGGATGCTCGAGGAATCCTTTCATCCTATGGTCAAGGACTCATGGATCAATAATAACTAGACAGAGGGAGCTTCTAGCTTTGCCAATAAGGCTACTACTTGGAATAAGGAAAAAATTGGCAATATTTCTTCCAAGAAGAAAAGAATATTGAAGAGATTGGAGGGCATTGACAAGAACATAAGCTATAAAGACAGTTACTTCCTTCCTTCAGAAATTAGAAAAATCCCTTTGGGAAGATTATAATAAAGTTCTTTAGCAAGAAGAGATAATTTGGTTCCAAAAGTTTAGATGTAAATGGCTTAAATGGGGCTATTAAAATACAAAATTCTTCCATACAACATCTATCATCAGAAAGAAAAGAAATCAGATCTTATCTCTTAAAATTGATGACAACAACTAGGTGGAAGACCAAAATTCCCTAAAGAACATGGCAGTTTCCTTCTTTAAAGACCTTTTTAAGGAAGATAATGATATTAGGCCCAAACTCTTTACTATTACTTACTTTTCACCTCTTTCCCCAAACCAACTTCAATCATTACATAGGGATGTGATTGAAGAAGAAATTAAAAATGCTGCCTTTAATATTGGGGCATTTAAAGCCCCGGCCCTGATGGTATTAATGTTGGATTCATTTATTCTTATTGGAATGATCTTAAAGACAGCATTTTCAATCTAGTCAAAAAGGCTTTCAGAGAACCAGATTCTATAAGGGAGATTAACGATACTTTTATTACCTTGATCCCTAAAATTGATCACCCTACTTGTATGAAAGACTTCCAGCCTATTTTGCTTTGTAATGTTAGTTATAAAATTATCACCAAAATTCTTTCTACAAGATTGCATGCGTGTATAAATCATTTAATTGGTGATTATCAAAGTAGCTTCATTCAGGGATGGCAGAGTAGTGATAATATTATTATTGCTCAAGAAGTCATTCATTCTATGAGGAAGAAAACCCAAAAAAAAAATGGATTCATAGCACTTAAGGTAGACCTTAAAAAGGCTTTTGTCAGACTTTCATGAAATTTCATCGAGGATACTCTTATCTCCATTGGAATAAACAATCACTTGAAAAAACTAACTATGGCTGCCATCTCCACCACTCATATGAAAATCCTTTAAAATGGAAAACCAACTTAAGAGTTCAGCCCTTCTCATGGCATTCATCAAGGGGATCCTCTTTCTCCTTATCTTTTTATTCTTTGTATTGAACGTTTGAGCCATTGCATTCTTAGTAGTATTGAAAAAAAAATGAATGGAAACCTATTAGACTAACAACTAATGGGCCTCTTATTTCTGACTTATTTTTTATTGATGATTTGTTGCTTTTTACAAAACTATCTCTTCCTCAAATGCAAATCATTCTACAATGTCTCTCAGATTTTTGTAAAGCTTTTGGTCAAAAGATCAATGCTGACAAATCTAAACTTTTCTACTCTAGAAATGTCAATATCAACAGAGATTTACAAATTAGCGATAATCTTGGAATCTCTCTCACCGGTAACCTTGGAAAATATCTATCATTCATGAGAAGGTTATAAAGCTCACTTTTGTGCCTTTAATTGAGAAGACAAGCTCTCACTTGGCAAATTGGAGAATTTGATACCTCAATATTGTAGGAAAATCGATCCTTATAAAATCTATTATTTCGGCTATTCCTAACTATACCATGCAAACTATACTTTTTTCTAACAATGTGTTAGCAGAGTTGGATAAAATTTCTAGAAATTTTCTTTAGGATTATTCTAATGGGAGGAAAAAACCTCACCTTATCTCATAGGATTGTGTCACGTTTAATAAAAAGGTTAGCAGTCTTGGCCTTAGAAAACTCAAAAGCCAAAATATTGCCTTTATCATGAAGCTTTGCTGGGGCATCCTCACAAAAAAAAAATTGTCTTTGGGTAGAATTCTAAGGGATAAATATAACTGTAGCCGACTGACTGTCCCTATGGTTGTCAAACTTAATTCCTGCTCGTACACCTGAAGTAGCATTTGCAAAATTTGGCATAAATTCATATCTCTAATTAGTTGGAAAATTAGTAAAGGAAACAAAATATCCTTTTGGTATGATAGATGGACTTCCTTACCTGATCCTCTTGTATATCATGCCTTTCATAATGCCAACTTTATTCTTCATACAAGAGTCTTGGATTTTTGCAAGCCCAATGGAGGTTGGAACTTAGATCTTATAAGAAGATACCTCCACCTAAATATTATTAAACAAATTGCTCTTGTTCAACCTCTTAATACTTAGGGTAAAGATGATATTCCTATTTGGAGACCCTCTTCAAATGGAAACTTTTCTATAAAATCTGCCTATAAAGCTATAGAAAATTGTTAGGCTCAGGATTCTAATGATATTTGGTCAAAAATCTGGAAATGGCCTACTTATGAAAAGATTAAGTACTTCCTTTGAAAAGCAGCCTGGGATCACTTACAAATAAATGTCAAGCTCTGTAATGGAAATACTATACAGCATCACACCTGCCAATGGGGTTGTAGCTCTCCTAAATCTTCTATTCATATCTTACGAGATTGTAAAGAAGCTAAAAAGGTTTGGGAAAAATTAATTAGCCCTTCTAAACATAATAACTTTTTCACTCTTCCTGTGCAAGACTAGATAATTTGGAATGCTAACAGTGAGGCAGGAAGCAGTTATACTAGAGGATTGTCCTGAAAAAAACTCTTTGCCCAAGCCTATTGGAACATTTGAAAAGCAAGACGCAAGGAAATTTTTTCTGAAAATGATACTGTGGATAAAGACATTGCCTTCTCTAACACCCAATAAATTATAATTGACATACAACTTCAGTCCAAGTTTGTTCATCTAAATAATTTAGACACTAGACATGAAGCGAGTTGAAAGCCTCCAAAACCTAGATGGATGAGACTTGATGTTGATGGCTCAGTCAAACACAATGGTGCCGCAGCTTGTGGAGGGCTCATCTGGGATGACAAGGGTAACTGGATCAAAGGCTTCATTAAAAACCTTGGTTACTAACATATCATAGCTATTGAGCTTATCAGGATTCTAGAAGGCCTAATCATCTGCTAGAATGCTAAAATTCTTAGACTTAATATTTGTACCAACTCAATAAAGGCCATATCCCTTATTAATGGCAATCTAGTTCAGGGTCATCCACTCTCAACTATCATCAAAAGTGTCAGAAATCTCATCATGAGGAACTGGGAGGTCACCCTGGATCATGTCTATAGAGGAGCAAATCATTGTGCTAATCTCCTTGCTCATAAAGCTTCTAGTGACCACTTTAACACTACGTCATTTGATGATGCTCCTAATGATTGTAGAAGCTTTTTGACTTTTAACACGACTTGATTTGTTCCTTTTTGCATGGTTTTTTACCGTAGCCTTGTATTAAAAAAAACACTCTCTTTTCTTCTCTATAAGTTTCTAATTTACAAATATGATTGAAACACAAGTTTTGCTTTGTTTCTTGCAGATAGCTGCTCCTACGTCTTTTTCTATCTCAATCATTTCCATTTCTTCTTCTTCCTTAGCTTTAAAACTTTGTTGTTCTTGAGTTGTTTTATCGATCTCTTTCAAGTCTATTTCTTCTCTTGCTACTCTTCTAATTGCATATCATGTTTTTTGCATTTCTCGCTGCAGGATCCTTTAGCATCATCTTACTTCTACTATGAGAAATTCGAACCAGGTGGTAATTCCCATGGAAGGGAAGAATTCAAACTAGAAGATGCCATGCTATGAAAAGCTACAGGAACTTATAAAGAAGCGGTTTAGTACATTAGATAATCAAATTCAAATTGGCCTTATTGTAGATACCATGAGTCATGAGTTGTACAATGCTGTTCGTAATAATAAGAATGATGTAAATCATTTTTTGGATATTTTAGAGTAAGTATGTAGAGAGAAACAAATTGATTGTTCCACTGTTTTGCATCAAGCCACTCCTATGGGTGATTCTTTGCTTCATGTTGCGGCTGAATATGGGAGAGAAAGGATCGCAGAGTTGCTTGTCGATAAAAGTTTTTCGCTAGTTGTGACAAACAATAGGAAAGACATTGCGATTCATGTTGCCACAAGAGCTAAGAATATTGAGTGATGAGAGTCATCTTGTCCAAATTTGACGATGCTAGTAGTAAGGATGACTTCATTATGTTACCAAATAAACTTGAGAAGAGAGCTTTGCATGAAGCTATTCTGAGCAAATATCTTGAGGGGCTAAATTTCCTTTTAAGTGAACAAAGTGAAAGTACTCAGCCACTCTATCGAGACACTAACCCACCTGAATCACCAATATATGTGGCTACACAGGTGAGGGATGTGAGAATTCTTCATCGTCTTTTGCAGATTCTGTTTCCCTCAGGTCGGGTCATTCATAAGAGCCGTGGTAACTCTCCACTTCATGCTTCCATATCAGAAAGCAATATTGGTATGTACATGTGTGTGATGCTAAATTCATAAATAAAAGGGTATGACTCTTAAACTATATATTCAGGAGCGTCTGTAATCTTAAACTTATTTTTATTAGTATAATGTTTCTTTTAACTTTTGAAATTAGTACAATCTGACCTCTTACTTTTAACAAAAGTTAATTTTAATTGTTATATAGTTGATTAGTTAAAATTTTTGGATACTTTATTGAACTTCTTTTTAATCTTTTTCTATAACTTTTTATGTTCTTTTTTGTCATTTTTTGGTGAGTTATAAATACAATTTAACTTCTGTTAATAAGAGTCAGATTGTAATGTTTTTAAAAATTGAAAGAGATTATTATTGCATTAAAAATGAATTTAGGATTTCAGATATTCTTAAATATATAATGTATGGCCAATTTACCATTTAATCCTTAATCAAATACTGCTTTTGTGTTTGTCCCACTGCGATTTCATTTATTATAAATGTTTGTTTGCTTTTACATGTAACTTTCTTGAAGAATATAGTACACGAAAAAGAGGGACTCATGTATTTTAGAGATGAACACGGAAATACTCCTCTTCATTATGTAGCATATATTGGTTATGTGGAAGGTGTTCGTGAACTTCTAAACAAATCTAATCTTGTTGCGTTTCAACGAAACTTAAATGGCGATCTTCCGATTCACATTGCTTGCCAAAGTAGCCGTGTTCAGGTGGCTAAACAACTGCTTCACGTAAAATGTCCTTATACCAGATTCTGGCTCAATAATAAAGGTCAAAACATTCTACACATCGCAGCAGAGAATGGACAAAACAAAATGGTAAGGTTCCTATTAAAACACTCAAATATCCATCCTGAAAATATGAATGAGAAAGACATAGATGGAGATGCGCCATTGCATTTGGCTTCAAGAAAACTGTATCTTTGGACGCTACTCCATCTATCACGAGATAAAAGGACAGATGCGAACCTTGGAAGCGACAAAGGCTTAAACGCTAGAGATATTGTTCTGATGCAGGCTAAACATCCAATGACACATCAAGAGGTATAATTTATAAGTATATATTTATCAATCCATTATTTCTCTTGAAGTATTTTCTTAAATGTTTTTAACTCTAGATGATTCCATTTTTATGGAAGACTTTAGAAAGTCATCAACATTTACTTGTTTCATTTGATTACCACACAGTTTCGAGCAAGTATGATATTAAGAACAGCAGGTGTCCCCCTCAAAAAGGATATGTTGGGAGTACAACGCGTAGCCAATGCAGAATGGAATGTTAAGGATGCAGCCAACACACTCATCCTTGTGGCTGTACTTATAGCAACAGTGACATTTGCAACTAGTTTCACAGTACCAGGTGGGGTTTACTCTTCTGATGATCCAATGCCTAAAACAGAGGCATGGCAGTGTTGGCTGATAAAAAATTATTCAAAGTATTCATGGCTTTCAACACGATCTCTATATATAGCTCCATTTTCGGTTCTATTATTCTTCTATGGATGCATCTGGGTGATCGTTGTTACGCAATGCGAGCTTATTTTCTTGCCAGGCTTTTTGTGCACTTGGCTCTTGGAAAGATGCTGGTGGCATTTATGGCTGCCATATATTTGGTTGTGAGCAATAACGCTTCGCTTGGAGATCTTGTAAAAGTCATTTCATTCATCTTCATTTCCTTCATCCTACTTCTTTTCCTTTTAGGATATTTCCCTCTTGGAAATCGCATTCCGCTTCTTCGTCAGATTGGAGAACCTATTTTTTTGATTGGTCTTATTTATTTTATGGACCTACGGATAGGCCTGTTGAAGCTCGTGATGTCGACCAATTGAACCCGGTATATAGAGTTGTTGGTGCCAATGATCACCCCTAAATTTCATATGATGATGACACGGGTGTTGTTATCCCTAAATTGTCACGAAGTTTTGAAGAAGGACATGAAGATGAAATGTTACTTGATTTGGATGTGTTGCACGTGTATCTTGGTTTGATACATTAGTGTTGTGATTTAAAAATAATCAATATATTTAAGATGCAGAAGTCATATTTATCTTTTTCTAATAAAGAAATGATGATGGATTGGCCTTGCCCATATGTAGTTTATTTTCAGGTTGGGGCTTGTCATGAACTCCATTTGTTTTTAGGTCAAGTCCATTTATCCCTCTTGGGCCAATGGTAAAGTCCATCTATCCAATGTATTTCTGGTTTAAAAAAAAAATCTATCTAATTCTATTATATATTCAACTTTTAGTCCTTTCTCGTCTTCCCATCATTACATATATACCCTCCATACTTTCATCTGTCAACGTTGGTTCTTTTGGTCTTTTCATCCTGAGGATAATATAAAGATAACATAGATCAGAACTTTATTGTATATTAAGATATTTATTTTTAATTAAATCAAAATTTGCGTATCTTTTATCTATTGTTTATATTATAACAAATTTATATTATTAATATTTTAAAATTTACTTGTTTTAATTTAATTTGAAAAATATATATATTAAACCTAAGTTTTTTCCTATAAATTATTGCCCAACGCAGCCAACTTTTAGGCAAAATTACTTTGGTATGATATTTTCTGAAAAAATAAATTTTTGAAAAAATAACAGATGATGGATTTTAGGCTGGAACAAGTTATGTTAAAAATATATATCGTACGGGAACATTTTAACAGTCTTGTATGTTTCGTCTCTCTGCATTTAGAATGTGTTTTGTTTTGGATGATGTACATTTAGAACGTTTTTATATATACAAACATTTTGACATGGGTGCTCTTGCAGGCTTTCTTTTTTTTTTTTTTTTTCCCTCCCACAATGATTTTTTTTTTTTTGCAGAATTTTTTCATATTGTATTTGACATGCCAAATTTTTACAAATATCAAGGACAAAGATAAGAACCGCACGTGAAAACTTATTCGAAATATAATTTTATTTAATAAGCATGTAAGGTTCTTACTATCTTGACAATTCTGTGCTAATCAGATTGGTTTATTACTGTCAAGGTACTTCAAATCTAACATTTAATTTCCTTTGGATGACGATTGATATATGACATGTTTAATGTAGAAAATCATACCCAACTGAATAATTCATCTCAGAAAGCTTTCCCACATTTTGGGGCTTAGCATTACGCATACTTGCATTGTCTGTTACACGATGCTTTCCTCGTTCTCTTATGGGCTTTAAGTAGCCATCAAGAATGAGGTAAAAAAAAAAAAGAATAAACCAAAACGCAGGTAGAGGCATGCAGGCCCATTAATCATATAAGCCCAGACCTTACTTGACTAATGATTCAACACACTTTAAATTTCAACACTTCTCCTCAAGTTAGGCCTGAAGATATTAAAAGTGCTTAATTTATACATCATATTCTCGTATAATTTTTGACTAAGAGTATAATAATCCAAAATTTTTAAATAAAACTAAAATATAAAATAACATTTTTAATTGTATTTACATTAATTTTAAAAAAAATAAGAAAGAATGTTGGTTTGGTGGCATTTCATTGATAATTTATATGCATCAGGTACCAGGTTCATAAGGTCAGATTATTCTTTTAAAAAGACAGATTTTTTATGTCGGTTTCAGCTTTGCAAATTTATTATTTTGACCTCAAAAGCAATCAGATTTTTTTTTCTTTCTTGGACCATTTTCTTTTCATTTTCGTTAGTCCAACGGAAGCAGAAACAGAGGATAGAGACGTGAGAGAGAGTGAGATCCAGATTTGAGCCTTCATTCTCCTCCTTGCTTGGCTTTCATCCTTCACCGGTGAGAGGTGTATCGTCTTCCGCCGTTGCAAGGTGTCCCGACGAAGTGACTATCGGCCTTCTCCCCTGTTGACCGTGGGTGTCGGATCCTTCTCCCTCCTCTGTTCTTAGCGTCACCGGCGTGGGTGGCAAGGATTCGACTTGCCACCACCTTCCTTTACCTACGCTTCACTTCGTTCAGGTTTTTCTGCCGTCTCCTTCTGCTCTTCTTCCCTGACTGCTGTAGTAGATAAAAGACCATTCCTCTTTTCCTCACCGACGTCGATTGTGTGGGTTAGAGCTGATCCTTTCTTCCATCCGTGCACTGCTGTTAGTATTGCCATCGAGTCCCTCATTCATTGTCTTCCTCTGCTTTAAGGGCGTATGAGCTTCTCCCTTTTTGTTTGTTGTCTTTGTGCGTGTGATTCAATGATGAAGATTATGATATATATTTTTTTCTTTTATTCTGTTATTCTGTGCTGGTATGCTCAAATAGAGAAGGAGGGGTTTGGAAAAGTTGAAATTTTTAGGTCATTGGAGCTAAATGAAGTAGTGTAGATTTGAATTTTAACTAAGCTTATTTTGATTTGGTTAAAAGAATGAAACTTACGAAGCATAATTAATCTAAACATTAATATGAGAAAATTTTGGAAAGAAAATTAAGCAAGAGGCTTGGTATTTGTTTGAAGTTTGATGCATATGAGATGTTTGATAAAATGGAGAGTTTTGCTTGAGTATGCATCCATAACATTGTTATTAGTTTGGGCATTATTTATTTATAAAAATAAATTGATTTTTTTGGAGGAATATATCTAAGAAGCTATTGAGGTTTAATTTGAGTTTTGATTCTTGAGGGTTGTATTACGGATAATCTATAAGATATGTTAACGTTTTAGCAGTTATATTTGGATGTTGGAAATTGTTAGGCAAGAGAATTAAAGGTTATAAAGTTCTATTGTATAGTTTAGAATGTTACACATTAGATGTAGGGCAAAAAGCTTAAGAAGCGATTAAATTTTAATTGAGTAATTAACTTTGGCTTGAGTGTTATGAAGAAACTTTTATGTGTGAATTGTGGTCCAAAAACTTCAAAGTTATTATAGTTAATTCTAGTTGAGTAAGCTCTCTTGGAAAGGAAATTGTGGATTCAAAAGTAAAGTACGTTAAGATCTTATTATGTTTTATAGGGTGTTTGTAAGATGGGTAGTTCAATTGGAGTATAAGAAGTGAGTTTTGAGCTTTGAATATATTATAGGTAAGTGGATAGCGTCCCAACTAATTTATCAATCAATCTTCTTATTGAAATGTATTTTTTACATTGATTATTTTAATAATAATTATGTTGATCAATGGATACATTGTTAATTAAATTTCTTCATTGTTAAGTTTCAAGATGGTGGTAAAAAAATGATTCATCATAGCATATGAATGTTTTACCCCTTATGAGATATCTTTTCAAGATTAATAAAATTCTTTTTTCATTAGCATGGACAATTTTTAATTATTTAATAAATGCAAGTATGAGCATTAGATATGAAACTTTATTCTGGCAAGTTTTAATATTTAAAAGTATTTATGTGAGTTTGATTTTTGAGAATGAGAACTATATCTTAAAAGTGATGATTTTCTTGCATGTTTGAAAATGGTTTTAAAAAGAGACTTTATACAGAACACTGGTTGCTAATGGAAGTTTCATTAGCCCTTGGCGCGCTATGGTACACCTAGCTAGCAGGGTGTTTATAAGTGATGCTAGCCCCATGTGATGGCCAACGCACGTGGAATGGAGGTATGGTTATTCGTGAACATCGTACTCACATTTGTTTCGTGGCTTCAAGCCACGTTTGGTTAGCGTCACCCTCGTGAATTGTGTGTTCACGTTTGTATATTGTTCTGATAAATCCCTAAAAATTGTGAATTTGATTATTTGATGATTTTATATTACATTAGTTATTTACAAACTATTTACAAATATTTATATTATTTATGCGCTTTCTTGAACTCAAGTGGTAATAACATTTGTGATGATAGTTTAATAATTTAAGATTTCATTTAAAATTTTATAGAGCCAATTGATTTTGAAGTTTATTAAATTTTTATAAAAATTGCTATCTATTTAATTTACATAATTATTTCAAACCTTTCTTTTTATTCATATTCAATTATTTATTGTTGGGACGTTATTCACTGAAAAGTATTTTATTTGGGCTCAGATATCATAGCCGATTTCGTACTCCTTGCTGATCTCTGATAGACTCGTTGATGAATTGATCAGAAGATTACTTTTGAGAACATCATCTTATTCATGTAAAATTCAAAAACTTATGTAGGATCTTTTGGAAGTTCGATTTAAAGTGCTCCACATCAACTATAGTCAGGGTTTTGATTTTTTTTGTTAATTACTTGTTGCTAAGGAGCAAAGCTCTATATTGTTCAATATGTGATGTAAATTTTTTGTTATAGGGATTTCAGAGGACTCTACCTTTAGGGGATGTGCTGCAAAAATTTAAATAAAAAAAAGTTTGATATTTTGATTTATGTGAAAAGTAAAATTTGATACATTAATTCAAAGCTTTTCTTAACTGAAGCTTTAGAGGATGTGAATTTATATGTATATCGCATGTTAGTCACGTTAAAATTTGAGGACGTGACAAAGAGCCTTAGTTAAAATATCTTCCTGCTGCTCGCTTGATGTCACATGTTTTAAAGTGATCAACCCACTTTGAAGTTTTTCTCGCACAACATGGCAGCCAATTTCAATGTGTTTCGTTCACTCATAATAAACTGGATTTGAAGCTATTTGAATTGCAACTTTGCTGTCACAATGAATGCACATAGGAGTTAAGTCATACACATGTAAGTCTTTAAATAAACCAGTAAGCCATATAACTTCAAACATAATACTTCCCATAGATTGGCATTCTACTTCAGTATAAGACCTTGAAACTATAGTTTTCTTCCTTGATTTTCAAGAAATAATTGACCCACCTAGTTTAACTAAGTAACCTATGATAGACCTTCGAGACTCTGGGCATGAAGCCCATCTAAATCACAAAATCCTTCCAGCCCTTAAATTTCCTGTGGAAGGGAATAAAAGACCTCTACCTGGATCCCTCTTAAGATATTTTATAGCATTTAATGCAACCTTAAATGTGATTTTCTGGGATTACTCATAAATTGACTTATCACTTAGACCATGTAGCTTATATTAGGTCTGGTGTTTATTAAATATAGTAATTTTCCAATCAAACATCTATGTCTAGTAGGACCTGGTAATATGTCATCTTTCTCCCCCTTTTTCGGCTCACTATGAAGTCTCAAACCAAGATTTATAAGGACATTTCTTGGCTTTGATGCTCCTAAGCCAGTGGTAGCTATCAAATCTAAAGTGTATTTTCTTTGATTGAGTATTAATCCTTTACATGATCTAGCAACCTTAATACCAAGAAAATATTTTAATGCTCCTAAATCCTTCATTTTAAAATTTGCATGCATGAAATCTTTAGTTTCTTGATCCCCTCTTGGCTGTTTCTAGTTATTATCAAGTCATCAATATAAGCCAACACAATAATAAACTCATCTCTATCTTGCTTTGTGAATAATGAATAGTCATGTTTACTTTGAACAAAACCTTCTGTAATTAAAGCCTCACACAGCTTATGTTCCACTGCTCAGCTGCCTGTTTTAAACCATATAGTGATTTGATTAGTTTACATACCCTTTTCTCCCCCTGTTTACTAAATACCAGTCACATTTTCATATAAACTTCCTCATCTAAATCCCCTTGAAGGAAAGCATTATCAACATCTATTTGAACTATGTTCCATTTATTATGTGCAGCAACGGCTAATACTGATCTTACAGTTGTCATTTTTATAACAGGAGAAAAGGTTTCAATATAGTCTATTCCTTCCTTTTGACTAAAAGCCTTTTGCCACTAACCTTGCCTTTAACTTATTTAGGGTTCTATCAGCATTATAATTCTTTTTAAAGATCCACTTACAGCCTATTGGTCTTTTTCCTAGTGGTAGGTCCACCACTTCTCATGTCTTATTATTTTCCAAGGCAGTTATCTCATCTTGCATTACTTTTATCCATCTATCATCCTTAATTGCTTCCTTAAAGGTGTCAGGCTCACTTATGTCATCTATAATAGCTATGAACTCCTTATAAGATTGTGAAATATTTCCATAACTAATGCTGTGTTGCATAGCATACAAGATTTTCTTATTGCCTTTCCTGTCTATTTTATCCAAAAAATCTATATCAGTGCAATCATAATCCCTAAGCCAGCCGAGCGCTCCCTTTTATCTAATGGGTTTGTTGTATCTAAGTTTTCATTTCTTTCACTTTCTAAGTCGTTACTGTTATTAGGTGTAATTTACTATTATCAAATTCAAGGTTAGGCTCATTATTAGGATGCATAAAAGAATCAGAAGGAATTGCAAGGGTAGGAACATCATCGAAAATAAAAGAATCCTGAAAACGTACCTGTTCCTACTAGTTAGAAGTAGCCGGCTGTTTTGAAAAAGGAAACTGGTTTTCAAGAAAGACAACATCTCGATTCACAATTATATTATCATTTTTAATGTCATAGAGAATATATCCCTTTTGATTACTTAGATACCTTAGGAAAGCGCATTCAACAGACCTAACATCAAATTTGTCTAATCTTCCAGGGATCTTAGCATATGCTAGACAACCAAAAAATTTCATATTTAATAAGTCAGGGTGCTTCTTATATAATATCTCATATGATGTTTTGTAATCTAAGACCTTTGAAGGAATCCTCTTAATGATGTAAATAGCAGTCCTAACAGCTTCCCCCTAAAACTGGATTGGCACACTAGCTTGAAACATTAGGCTTTGAGAAAACCTCTAATATGTGCCGATGTTTTCTTTCTACAACCCCATTTTGTTGTGGGGTATGGACACAAGTGGTTTCATGAACAATTCCATTTTCATTAAAGTATGTAGAGGCCAATTGATTCACGAATTCTGTTCCATTTTCACTTCTAATTTGTTCAACCTTGGTAGAAAATTGATTTGTTATGAGGGAAATAAATTGCTTTAGATAATATAAAGTTTCATATTTATTATGCATGAGGTAAATCCAGCTGGTTCGGGAGAAATCATCAACTATGGTGAGGAAAAATTTGTAACCTTGAGGAGTAGAATGTTTATAAGGACCTCAAACATCAACATGAAGCAAATCAAAGCAGGAATCAGTTTTAATTTGACTGGAGGGAAAAGACAAATGGGTCTATTTTGCTTTAAAATAAACATCACAACCAGAGGAATTAATAGTAGACAACTTGTCTTGTGAAGGGATTACATGTTTAAGGACAAAATCAGATGGATGTTCTAATCTTAGATGCCAGATATTTTCATTGGAAATGGTATTACTATTATGAATGTTAGATGATGGGATAAGATTTTCATCAACCAAGTACAAACTAGACTCTACTCTACCAATCGTCTTGGTTCTGCCACTGAAGAGGTCTTGTAATAAACACTTGTCAGGAAAGAAGGCAACCACACACTGTTGATCTTTTGTTAGTCGGGAAATTGATATTAAGTCATAACAAATTCTTGGAGCGTATAAAACATTTTTCAAATAATGTTCTCAAATATCTTGATGCTACCAATGTGTGTGACCGTGAGTTTGTCAGCATTAGGAATTTTATTCTAAGTGACTGTCCACTGTATTCATGACAAGAGTCCAAATATGATAGTTTACTCACAACATGGCAAGAAGCTCCAGAATCTAATAACCAATGTGGCTGTGGGTTAAGTGTGGGTGCACTAGAGAATAGGCAAGTGTTCAAACCTAAAGGCTTTACCGAGTCATTAGGGGACTACTCCTCCTACCGAGAGTGATTTAGCTGAAAGAGTCTGGATTCTTTCTTCAAGTTCTCGATTATCTTCTCATAATCCCTTGGAGATAGCAGCTGGTGATCGGATAATGTGTCTTGTTGTGGCTTGGATGTATTATGAAGGGTGGAATTTTCAACATGATTTGCTCGGTTGAGTGGACTACCTTGTCCTCTTTCTCCTTGAAAGTTCGGGGAAAACTCAATAATGTGAAAACAATTATCTCTCAAATGGCCCTTTCTATGGCAGTAAGGGCACTCATTTGATGAGTTGCCTCTGCCTCGAGATCTTCTAAATCGTCCCCGACCTCTAGTAATTGCGGAGGCAGAATAATTGGATGTCTGGAGTGGAGTGGATGAGATAGAGCATTACGCCTCTTCTTGAGAAACCATAGAGTGCGCTTGATTTATCGAGGGTAGAGGGTCCATTAGCAAAATATGACTTCTAGTGCACTAGTATGAGTCGTTGAGTCCTATAAGGAATTCAAATAACTTTTGTTGTTGAAAGCACTTCGCATATTCAATCGAAGATGGACATTTACAGGTAGGCAAGGGAATGATTTTGGAGTATTTTTCTTACAATTATTTCAGTTTTGTGAAGTAACTAGAAACGGCCATACCTCCTTAGGTGAGTGCGTTGATGAGGTGATGAAGGCTATATACTTTGGTTTCGTCGGTCATATTGAATTGCTCACGAAGATCATTCCAAATGTCCTGAGCGTTTTCAAAGAAGGTGATACTAACTGTGATTTCCTTAGAGACGGAATTAATCAGCCAAGATAGGACCACTGCGTTACCACCGATCCCACTGGGTTCGAAATGCCGCGTTTTGTGATTCTCTATTGCAAGATCCATCTATCAGCCCAATCTTGTTTTTCGCTCTGAGAGACATTTGGATAGCGCGACTCCAGACGGTATAGTTGGTGCTATCGATAAGTGGCTGGGCAACCAAGGTTAAAGCTTGGGTGTCCGAAGGATGAAGGTAAAGAGGATGATTCATATCTATTGCGGATGTGAATGATGGTGAGTATTCGACTTCTGTCATGATGAATCTTGAAGAAAACTAAGGCGAAGATTTAGACAGAGCTCAGGGTGACGTTGTGATTCATGGATTTGGTGAAAGGTGTTTTGAAGAAGGACGAAGAAGACGACTCAGAAGGTGATGATTTTGTGATCTGGAGAAGCATTTGGTTTTAGGGCTGTGAAAAGAAAAATTGATCGGGTCAGGTCATGAACCCGGCTCTGGTACCATGTAGAAAATCATACTCAACTAAATAATTCATCTCAGAAAGCTTTCCCACATTTTGGGGCTTAGTATTACGCATACTTTCATCGTCTGTTACACGATGCTTTCCTCATTCTCTTATGGGCTTTAAATAGCCATCAAGAATGAGGCAAGAAAACAAGGAAGAATAAACCAAAACGCAGGTAGAGGCATGCAGGCCCCATTAATCATATAAACCCAGACCTTACTTGACTAATGACCCAATACACTTTAAATTTCAACATTTAACTTATTTTCTAAGTTTCTTCAGTGAAAATTGATCTACATGCATGCAACGAATATTCGAATGTTCACATTAAATTAAGAAGTAATAACAAAGCAGTGATTTTTAATTAAT